CAGTCACTAGGTGGCAGCAACTCATACAGTGGTTTGTACAGATAAAAAAATACATGTTATCAGGTTCTCAATAGTATTTCAATTCGTGGGGGTGTGGGTCAGGGGGTGGGGGGTGCTTCCCAAACTTTTCCTGCAGTGCCCCCTTCTGTAGATAGCACACAGCTCTTGCTGCACTTAACTTTATTGAAAACAGTATCATGTCTAAAAAACTGATACTCTCACAAAAAAATAAAATGAATATTTTCAAAACAGTGACTTTTTTCCCCCCTACAACGGTGCAAATATAAAAATATTAAAAATTAATGACCTGCTACACCCCCCCCCCCTTCAATTACACCCTGCCCTCAGGGGGCCCGCACCCTACTTTGGGAACCACAGCTCTATAATAAATTCAAGTTTCCTGTGTCGCTACATGATACAGCCAGAACACAGACACAGCAAATGCAGCGAGGAGCATATTGGATTTCCATATCTCCACTGAGTCAGAGCCTGAGGGACTAACGTGACGGGAAAATAACGACTTACAGTCTCTGCCATTGAGAACTCTGAGTCCAGCTTCTTTGCCAGGCCATAGTCGCCCAGCTTAATGAGGTCAGTCTTTGTCAGGAAGATGTTGAGAGTTTTGATATCTCTGTGGGGCCAACAGAAACACTGTGTTATCATCCGTCTCCAAGAAAAAAAATTGTAATTTTAAGAAGTGTTTATTGGGGAAAATCTGAAAATCTAACCTGTGTAAAATACCAGCCTTGTGAATATGGGCCACCGCTGAGGCAATTTGGTACAAGTACCACACAACCACCTGAGGAAACACAACCAGATGAGTGAGTGTTTGTAGATAAGACTGATTGGTGTGAGACAAACTGCAGCACATTATATTTATACCTCTTCAGTGAACAGTTTCCCCCTCTGCTGGTTGATCTTATCATACAAATTTCCTCCTGTGAAGACAAAGTCGTTTGTAGCATCGTGTCAGTATTTACCCTTATCTGTCTGTGCGACCTGTTCTCACCATTGCAGTACTCCAGCTCAATGAGCAGTGTGTTTTTATCCATGAAGTGATTGAAGTAGGCGATAATGTTGTTGTGCTCCAGGATGGACAGGATGCTAATTTCATTCATGACATCTCGGCGCTCCTTCTCTGACAGCGAGTTCAGGTCCACTTCCTTCCACACCACCAGAGAGTTGTCCTAACGAGGCCACAGAGAGGACACCGCACATAATTATGTTAGGACGAGTAGAAAAGAATAGGTTTGTAAGCAGTAAATAGACCGTCAATTGATTTAGAACTGGTCCACCGCTCATTTCCTCTGATTTCAGACAGGAGTACTACAGTACATGTCAAAGTACATGTGGACGTAAAGAATAACACCAACCACTGCTTTGTAACCTAATCCTAAAGCAAATAGGAGTGAGACGTCATTTGTTTGTGATGCTATTATAAGCATTATGGTCTAAACTGCACCATAGACCTGCAGGGACCAGATTCAAACCAAAAATCATCTGACTATAATACAGATAAATACTTTTATAATTAAGAATTACCAATATATTTAATGGATGCATGTGATAGCTGATACTTCAACAAAAAATACTGATTTAATATCAGTCCATCAAACAACCTTTTCTGCAACAACTTCTCACCACGCTGCATGTTACTCTATTAGCCGCAGGAGTTGCGCCACCTACTGTATATAACACTGCCTTCCAGTTGCCTGCATATTTACTGAAATGCAACCTCATGTAGCATCTGTTATCAGCAAGTTCACAAATGAACTTACTGACTAACTAGGAACACATGTTCTGCTCGGTGTTAGCAAGGCAGGCTATAGTGGCTCCACAGTGGAGTGGGGTTCCATAGAGAAGCCTTACATGCAGAAGGTCCTGGGTTCAAGCCCCAGAGGAACCACATATTTGGCGCCTCCTAGTGGCAGTCACATCTGCTGTTAACACAACAATTTTCCCAGTGTGGGATTAATGGGGTTCAAATTACTATTATTATTATTGTTGTACTAACCTACTGTCAGAACTGTTTCCAATGTGAACAAAATACTACTTATTTAGTTAAAAACTGAGTTATTTTGTACAGGAAATCAAACCATGAAACAATCTACAACTCTCCAGTATGATGTCTTTGTACCAAGAACTGAGCAGGAAGCCGTGGGAAAGTCATTTATCTTGTTCAAACTGAAGAATTTCTCACAGGGGTATGGAAACACAGGGACAGTGGGCAGGTTCGTTTTCCAAAGACACACACACACACACACATATATACACACACACACACACTGTGTGCTTTACAAGTCAAAACTGGACTGGGTGCTAACATCACCCTGCCTTGAAGGTGTACACAACATCATCCAGTTCTTTATTCTCCAAATGGTTTTGGTTCCAAACAGAGATGACTGCTCAGTGGTTTTTACTGTTGTACTATCAGTGTCCTAAGTCGTAGAGGCAACTAATGCATTTTGTTTTGTTGTATTGTTTTGTTGTATTGTAATTGTACTGTATTTGAGGCAGTGGTGGCCTAGTGGTAAAGGAAGCGGACTTCGGACCACCAACTGCCAGGTTACCACTGAGATGCACTGAGCATGGCATCGTCCTCAAGCACTGCTCCCCGGGCGCTGACCACGGCTGCCTACTGTTCACTTGGTGATGGGTTAAATGCAGAGGATAAATTTCGTTGTGCATGGTGTGCTGTGCTGTGCTGTGTCACAACGACAAATAAAGATAAGTTTAATAAAGGGAAAAGAAAATAACAGTGGACCTGAAAACAAAGATGGAGGAGGCTTTCAACTTACTTAAGATTATAAGACATTGCCTTCTGCTAAAGCAATCACATCTAACCCACAGAGGGTTGAAAGTTTGAATCCCAACCCTGTCATGACTAGAGTTTAATGAACATTCATGAAAAACTCCCCCCAACCCCCACGGGCGTCTGTGTCTGGTCTATTCACAGGGGTGCTCTGGTACCACATTATTCAACCTCCGTGCTTTCAACTTTGCTTTTAATGGAAATTAAATCTGCTTACTACCACTTATAGGAAAATATACTGCAGCAGTAGGCAAGTGGGTTTTGATTGGTTGGTAGGAAATTGGGTGAGTAGTTAGGTTTAGTTGGGAGTTAGGTAGATGAATTGGAGGGAGGTCCCAGCCATTGGGTATGGTGGGAGGGTCGGTAACACTCTACAGGTAGGTTGTTAACTTAGTTGGTATAGGGTAGAAGGTAGAATGTATTTAGATGCCCAGGTGGGTAGGACGGGCATATATGGGAGGGTTAGAAAGTAGGCAGTAATAGGTTACGTTAACTACGTTTAAAAAAGTTGAGCTGATCAATTGTACAAGTTTGGTATCGTATGTATTGAGTCTATATTTGCATATGTAAGTATGTGTGTAGGTGCCTACATATGTGTATGTAAATTATTTATATATATATATATATATATATATATATATATATATATATATATATATATATATAGTAACTAAGAAATATTAGTTGTTTTCAATCACAGGTCAGGAATTGGCTACCCAACAACAAACTTGGTTAAGTTGGTTAAAGGTCAAAGTTAGTTGGGAAATGTAGTAGGTAGGTAGGTAACCTGGTTATCAAATAAGATGAGGTTGTTCAGCTACTACCAACTTTTTTTATTGGAGATGTTTTGGTAATAGATGTGCTAACGTCATTACTCACTGTTTATAAAGCTGTAGCATCATGTCGTAATAAACACTCGTTTCCTCTCTTCTAAACAAAAACAAACACAAAAAATAAACCACAATACCGCGCTGGTGCCTGAAGACTTCTTACCTCTGTCCTTCTGTACAGAGTTGCTTCACCAAACGCCCCTCTGCCGAGGATCCGGATAGGAATGTAATGCAACTTCTCCTCTTCACCGTTAAAAGTGCTCGACGCCGACCTCTCGCTGACCACAGACCCGCCGCCCAAATCTGAATTCAGCGAGTCGAAATGTCTTTCATATTCCTCTAGAGACATTTCTGTTTAGGGACTAGTTAGCCAATGACAGTGATGGAAATAACACGAACAGGCCTAACTTCACCACCCTCTAAAAGTCTCCCACACAGCCCAACACGCGTCTTACATGTTACCCATATCGGCTACGAAGGACGAACTGTCAACGCCGACGTGAGTAACAAGTCTTAGAGACACGAAAACTAGTAAATGTACAGCAAAGAAAAATGTGGCTAAATGCGTGCAACTACAGAAGTTGCACTACTGTCAAGTCTGAACAAGTTTGAATGTTCAGGAACCACGTGGGCTTTTCAGAATAAAATGTCTGCGGTTTGATTACGGATAGAACGCTTTATTTTGAAATGCATAACAAACGCTTGTTTGTTGTTAAGGTAAGTTTGATATTAAAGGAAACTAGTGCAGAAACTAAACCGTCTGCCATTGCTATTCCTTTACGACCCAAAGAGGCATAGGATAACATTACTCGACCTCAATAGTTTTATGTTGTATAGACGTATGTATAAACGTGCGCATCGCTTCACAATATAAAGGGGGGCGGGGGGGCATCCTCTTTGCGAACAAACCCGGAAACTGTCAAATTAAAGGTATGTAATACAAATTTTGAGAAAAACCTTTGTGAAAAAATGTAGGTTTCTTAATTGTGTAATCATGTATACATATACATGTAAATATATACAGTATTATATTTATATGTATATGTATAAAACAAAAAATATTTCCCTTAAACCATAAAACTGGGAATTCTATACACAGTATTTACATTTTGACACATGCATAAATATGTATGTAAAGATAATTTTTAAGTACATAAACAGTCAATAGGTGGCGCTAAAAACACAAACAAGTGAAAACATATGTTTTTAACAGGCATTTCAGTGTCCAAGATAGAGACCAAGTTCAAAGCAGATCAGAGAAGTTGGTTGGGGCTAAACCATTTAGGCATTTATAAATCCACAATATATTTATAAGCCGCTAGCTGGAAACCAATGGAAAAGGCAGAAAGTTGGAGTGATGATGAAAATACCTTAGAGGCTTACCTCTAATCGTGTTTGTGTTTTTGTCCAGCAGGGCGCCCACAACTCTTCTTTAGAGACACATCCACACACACAGTTGTGTAATACTGATAGGACAAAGGGCCAACACAGCCAGACGTGACTCACTAGAGTGGTTTCCCTGGTCAAACAATGGCTCATTCAGAGATGATTTCATATGAGGACGACAACACAGATGGAGTGCCGTTTCACCATCTTTCACCAAGCAAAGGTTGGCTTCATTTATGCACCCTTTGAACACGATGACTTTTGTCATTCTAATGTATTGTGAGCTGCTGTTTTGTCTCTGAGCTTATATCGCCCCGTCTGTTTGATCAGGAGCTGTGCACACATTCAGAGTTGGGTCCAGAAGTCTTCCTCTTTATCCCGTAATCATCATGTGTTTAGGAGTGCTGAACGTGATTCTGCTGTTAACTGCTCTAATTTTGGGGATATATTGTGAGTAAAAAGGTTTCAAGATGTTTAATTTCACTCTCTAAAAAAACACAATGAAAAGATTATGATGAAAATATATTACTTTTATTTAATGTATGTGCAATAACCCAACAATAATTCAGTGCAATAACCACAATCTTGATTTAAATTACTATTATATTTCAATATATGATAAAATTTCTTTTTCTACAGGAAATTATATATAATTTATAGTATAGTATCTAGTTATATATGCGTACATCCATAGGTCTATAATATTTGATATAATGTACAGTAACTAGAAATAATGGTTGTATAAATCTGGTTGTAATACACCCTCATACACTATTAAATCTGCTGCAACTGCCTATGCAGCTAACTGTTTATTTAATTTAATTATTTAACTACTCAACCAGTTATACTGTTTATGTTTATGTATTTTAAACTATTTATATACTTCACATAACATACTTATAATTACACATACATACATGTGTGTGTGTATATATGTATACATATATGTGTATATATTTATTTATTTATATATATATATACAGTATTAATTTAGTAATAAAATAGTATAATAAAATATAATAATACAGATATATACATATATAAATGTATATATAATAATCTTATCTATCTACTACTACTAATTTACTAACCTACTAATCTACTCCAGGGGCAGTGGTGGCTTAGTGGTTAAGGAAGCGGATCAACCAGCTGCCAAGTTACCACTGAGGTGCTCTGAGCATGGCACCGTCCCCACACACTGCTTCCCGGGCGCTCAAAAAGCTGCCCACTGTTCACTTTGGTGATGGGTTAAAAGTAGAGGTCATATTTCGTTGTACTCAGTGATGTGTGTCACAATGACGAGGAGTTCACTTTCCTTTCCTTCCCACTGTTCAGATTTCCCATATTCACTAACAGTGCTACTCGTGTTGTATTTTCTTGTATATATTGTATTTGATCTATTTGTGTGGTTTTACTGTTGGTTTGGAGCCTTAATTTCCCAAAGGGAAATCCCAAGGGATTAATAAAGTTCTCTCTATCTAGCTATTCTAATAATTTCACAGTTAATAATCCAAGTAAAATACCAGAAGTTGATAAACTTGTATAATGGGTTCTTAACCACAGGTGGAGAGGCGGGTCAGAAGTTAGCTCCCCAACAACCAATTACACAAAACTCAATCTCAATAGAATTGAAGGAGCTTCAGAGAATTCAGAGTGAAGCTATCAAAGCTACACATGACTTTGAAGAGGCACTGAAAAATGAACTCAAAAATACCGAGCAACTGAAGCTGAAGTTGGAGCAGAACAAAACCAACAGTGACAGATTTCAGAGGCAGCTGGAAGACCTACACCTGGAGAAGGCTACACTGCAGTCCACCATGTCTGATGACCGTACGTAACAGATGTGTCATCACATCTTAACAGCATTTATATGACTTTTCTTGCTGATATGTTTTTGTTTTTATTCTGAAACAGATGAAAGTTGCGGGAGATGCCAACCAGGGTGGATGTTGCTGAACACAACCTGCTACTGGTCTTCCAAATCAGCTTCTCTGCCCGCAAGGTCATGGGCAAACAGTAAAAAAGACTGCACCGGGCGTGGCGGTCGCCTTGTTGTGATTGACAGCTGGGAAGAGCAGGTGAGGCCGGTGAACTGGTCACCGTTTTTATCGGTGTTTTTAGGGTTCCAGAGAGCACCAGGTCAAGAAGGTCGTCTAGTGTAAGAACTCAAATCAAAACACTACCACGGTGAGAGCTGCTGAAAAATAAATGCACAAGATAAAAATGATTTTTATTTTTCTTCTAAACATGGTCTTACACCACACATTAAGTCTTTTTCTGCTAACTTCTCAGCTAACTTTGATTAGCCATAAGCTAATTTGTTGTGACACATCATACAACAGAAATGTGACCTCCACCAGGTTCATGTTCTTCAAGGATTGAACCCAAGACCTTGGCGTTATTAGCACCACGCTCTAACCAACTGAGCTAACCAGCCATGTTGTTTGCTAAAGCTCTTCTAGTTTTGACTCTAACCAACTGAGCTAACCAGCCATGTAAAGCTCTTCTAGTTTTGATCAAATTCTAAGGAATCACTTTAAAAGGTGACAGATTTTACCACAGCACCAATGTCCTTATTCCTTATTTTATTTAGCATCTAATGCTAGTTAGCCTTCCCGACACAACTCCCTCTATTGCTATCATTAGAAAAAATGTTATGCTGTTTTGCTAATTATCTGCTGGTCTACATCTATTGCCAAATTTTACCCATCCATCGACCCATGTTTTTCAGTGAAAAAATGAATGTTCTGTTCTGTAGGTAACACTGTTTGATTACATGCCAGTAGTGAGTGAAGGAAATTGGTGGAACCAGGGAGCTTGGATTGGTCTCACTGATCAGCACGCAGAAGACAACTGGCTGTGGATAAATAATGTGACACTGGGCGAAGGGTAAGAGTTTTTAACAATTTATAAATGCGTTGCCTGACGTATCATTCATAAGTTTGGAATTGATGTGATGTGCTACGTAGCCAGCACAAGAGAGTTTTTCAACTCAAGTAGTAGCAAGTTCATTTTTAATGGGATCTTGGACTTCAACAAGAGCAAGACATTGTTTTTGTAAAACATTGTCTTCATTCGTTTCTCAGGTACTGGATCGTGGGAGAGCCAAACAACTGGGGGTCGGGTGAAGACTGCGCTGTACTCTTAAGAACTCCTGACAACAATCCAAGGGAATCCTGGTATGATTTAGCCTGCTATCAAACGATGGAGTGGTTATGTGAAACACCACCCAGGGATCAGTGAGTTCCATGTGGCTCCATGTTGAAGTAACGGAGAAGAATAAAGAGTCTTTGTTATTGCTCATAAAACATTGATTAAACATTTTAAATAGTTTTGTTTAGCGCTTAATGTGTTTTCTTAAAATAAAAAAGTATATCACCAACACAGAAATGACAAGTGGTTCCATAATGTAGCGAATAGTTCCAGGGTTAGCAGTTAGCATGCTTGCCTCAGAAGAAGAGCACTGGGACTCTTAGGTTCAATTACCAGGTCAACGACATACTACAACAGATCCATATTAACACAAGAATTTCCCAAGTGTAGGGTCAAGTTCGAAGTGGTATTATTATTATCCGTGGTCAAAAGAGCCATTTTTATCATTGGAGTTAAGAGAGGAGGGAGCTGGAGCCAATCATAGCAGCCAACTGACAAGAAGGGAGTACACTCTCAAAGGGACACGTACAGCCAAATACACCCTTATTCACACTGTCATTCACACCTGTAGATCATTTACGGACATACTGGTTGCATCATCTATCCCAGCGTGATGAGCCATGCTGAGATTATTGTTGCACACAGTGTAAGTATGCCTGCAGTTCCGGCCAAGATGGAGGTACGCAGGTGGTGAAATATAAAACTGAAGATCCGCTCCTTTGTCTCAAAGAATTTTTTTTGCCGTACAATCTCCTTATCAATTTCCACATGGAAGCATTGGACAACCATCTTTGTAATGTCTGGATCGGGCATGAGAATGCAGTATTTGACCAAATTCCCAAACGTCTTCGTCAGCCGCTCGAGCACAGCCTTCGCCACCATGTTGAACCTGTCCAAGTCCAGGTCAAACCCGTCTGGGATGCTGAGTCCTTTGTTGATCTGGTCTACCAGGTGTCGTGCATGGCGGAGCCACCCGTCATTGCTGCAGGTGGCCAGTGCTTTGCATTTTGTAAGGCACCTGAAGATGGTGGCGATGACAAACATCTGGACCTGACGCTCCGGCAGAGACATAACTGTACACTCAGTCCACATGTCAGGTATGTTTTCTGTGGAGGGTGTTTTTTGTGGTACGTTCTTCATGGTGACTCAAACACTCAGTCTTAAACTACAACGTATTCAAGTTTTATTACGTTCTTCATGGTGACTCAAACACTCGTATTCAAGTTTTACATCACAACCTCCCGAAGGACAGTCAGCAAAGTTAAAGCTTTGTTAAATCAGGTACAAATATAAAAGGACCAATGGTGGACTTGTTGATTGAATGTATATTGCAGTTTTTGACATGATTATACTTTTATCTACCTTGATTTAAATATTTATACTGACGTGAGATCAAAGGCACCTTTGATGTCAATCCAGTGGGAATGAAAAAAATAAAAGATTTTCAAAAGATCTGATATATTTGGGTCCAGCTTGTGTTGCCAGATTTATGCTGTACAATAGACAATCATTTTGAAAAAGTTTCAATTTAAATAGTGTCATCTTCTTTACTACAAAAACAGCATCATGAAAAGTTATTTTATTTTAAAGTCACATACTGTATAACACCTTTGTTTCTGTTGGATTTACTGCCTGTTTTAGGGTTAGACTACTGGACTAAACTTTCTAGACTTCACTGTTGTCTTACCTTGTACAGTTACCCCTCTCCTATCGCGGTAGTTGCGTTCCAAGACCCACCACGAGATGGGAAAAATCGCGAAGTAGTGGCGAGATGCTTATTATATTATTTACGTATATATTTACCATTTACGAACCTCCCCGACACTGTTATCAACCTCACAATTATATGCGCAGTAGAGTTGTATAATATCGACGCAAAGTGAACGAGAGAGTGGCTGACCGACGAGGGGAGCTACTGAGAGATGCTACGATGCATGAACCAATCGGCGTGAGGAACAGAAAAGCATGCTCAATTAGCCAATAGTACACCGAGTACGCGTTGTATTAGGGCGGGGATACACTGTACGATTTTTAAAAATCTTATGTACTCACACTGTACGGTATATATACGATACTGTACGATTTTAGTCCGTTTTTTACCCGATTTTTGAGACGCACGACCTAGCGACGTTCGGCCCGATTTCACGTTTCGCCGGGCGTCTTTTCCCGTATAGGGGGTAACGAGGACAGCCAGCAGGGGGCGACGGGTCGTTTTCACCCGCACAGTGTGAGCTCTCTGGTCGTGTACGATGATCGGACCGTACAGTGTGAGTACATAAATCGTGAGCTTTGTCCGTACATCACTCGTACAATGTGTGATGGTATCAGCGACAAGCTTTTAAAAAAAATTCGTACAGTCTATGCGCGCCCTAACCTTCCATTTCTGTCTTGGAGCAATAGCCACGGATCTGTACGACTGCTGCATCGCTTTCGTCTCACTGTTGTTTATATTTGTTTCTCTCATTCTTTCATTTATTCTGCCTACTGTCTAAAGACTGGAGACGCATTAACTCGATTTAATTTGACCATGATGGTCAACGGTCATGTTGGAAATTCTAGGTTAATGTAGAAAAAAGAGCCTCGTGACCAGAGTTGAAAGATCCACACATCACTTATCACCTAGACAAACAGGTCGATATGTGCTGCCTATCGACAAACCTTGCATTCACTCTCACAGTAGGAAGAGAAAATGTCCTCTGAAGAAAACAATGGACATCGAAACACAGTTGGACAAATAAGGCTGTCCCTACGAGGTACGGTACCAAAAAAAGTCATTTCGTTTCTGTATTGTTTTATCCTGATTTTTATTTGCTTGTCTGATTTCTTAAATTCTTTAGTTGTTATTTAAACCGTTACTGTAGTAGTGCATAGTTTCTAACCTCTTGTTGATCGCTTTGAAACTTTAACTCGGAGAAACATTTTAAAGGTCTGTTTAAGAAGGACAGTGGATCAACATGTCCGACCCACCGACAAGTTTTACTCGGCCTGGCTCTGCTGAATGTTACTCTGCTCGTAGCTGCTGTCGTGACTGGGATTAAATGTGAGTATGAGGGGTTTATTGTACAACAGAATTTGTACAGTGCATATTTAATATATGTATACGAATACATAACGGACTCGGATTGGCGAATTGGGTTTTCCCAAAGTCATTTGCGTCAACACCTGAGCCGCGGGTTGGCCATGGCTGAGCTAGAATGTTAATCACCATTCCATAATGTTACCTCGGGCTAACACCATTGATCAACATAATTCTAACCAAGTTTCCATGTTCTTACCTGTGTGGTTTGGGTTTTTCCAAGTACTACATTTACCATAGGTGTGAATGGTTGTAAGTCACTATTTGTGGAGAACTGTTGAAGGCGTACCCTTACTTCACTCAGTGACTCCTAGGATTTCCTCCAGCCCACTTCACATGCCGAAAATCATTGTAAAAGGTGAATAAATATCAGACTATTTTCCTATGTCTTGATAATAAACACACAACTTTTTTTACACAGGTGCCAAGGCCAAAGACCTCCAGATTCCTGAAGTACATTCCGTACTTATGGTAGAGCTTAATTATTACAGGAACCACAGCAATTACATCGGGGCTAAACAGAAGGCTCAAGAAGCATTAGTTAACCAGCGCACCGACCATCTGCAGCTTAAACTGCAATTAAAGCAGAAGAAGACTTTCATCGATGGCCTATTGGGACAGATAGAGTCTCTGCAAGTGGAGAAATCAAACCTAAAGTATAAGCACGCTCACCTGGGTAAGATCGACGTCCAGTTCTCCGTGAAAACACAACATCATTCAAATATCTAACCCAAAGACCCACTCCTCTTCCTCTTCTTCTTTCCAATCTCCATTTTGACAGATGAAAATTGTGGCAGGTGTTCAAAGGACTGGATTCTCTTCAATTCATCTTGCTATTATATTTCTCATCGTGTGAATGATCACAAGAAGAACTGGCCCGACAGCAGAGCAGACTGCATCAGACGAGGAAGCGACTTACTCATAATCGACTATCAGGATGAGCAGGTGTGTCTTTTCTTCTTTCTCATCATCAATCGGTTTTACTGCATTGAGTCATTTTATTTATTACCTAGTAGAGATCGCTTGATCTGACAGAATGGGTATTGGTCCGATATTGGTCAAAATTTCAGGATTTAATGTCGTAAAAACCAACTATAGCCCATCCGATGCTTACGCTAAAGTGCTCAACTTAATACAACACTATTGCCTCAGCAAAGGCTGCCCGCAGCGTGCTGGAGGAGAACATATTGGATTGATTTCGGCCGTGGCAGTATCGTATTGGACATGAGAAATTTGTATCGAACCATCCCTATTACTAACAAAATTGCTATTCCTATGGCTTACTATTTTTGGGTATGGCTTGAACTTCTGTACATCTACTATAGCTACTTTTATCCAGGGTCAGAAATAAGCCAATGCTAACAACACAATACATATGCCCTTGAATGGTTCATTATGGGAGTCTTGGACAATACAACAAGGAGACTTAACGATGTGAGGAACAACAAAGCTGACACATGAGTACTAACCACAACAGTGTGTTTTACAGATGCTCCTAAATGAGAATTTAGAACGTTTTGTTACCACCGGCACTGTGCCCTTGACCCAAATCGGCTTCTGGATCGGGCTTTCTTATAAAGAGAGGCAAGAAACCTGGACCTGGGTCAACAATGTCACTGAAGTCAAAAACTTGTAAGGAGCAGTTTGCTGACTGTCAACAATACCTGTCGCTTAATGTTGAATTTTAAACATGACTCCATAAGATTGACTGATTTTTGTTTGGTTCAAGGAACTGGAAAAATCGACATGCTGCCCTGAACGATAATCACAATGGGAGTTGTGCTGCCTATTATTTTGGAGCTAATCTGGAGTTATGGCGTCCTGTCAGCTGCCAGAATCAGCAGTTGAACTGGATATGTGAACAGGAGCCAAAAAGGTTGTTTTCAGTTGATACATGAAAACAATCACAGCAGCTTTATGCACCAGCATTTTTGTGATGTGAAGTTGAACAATGAAGGAAAGATGTCTGTGTTCAGGAGTTGACAATTTTACATTAAAGATGTACAAATCTCAAAAATGTGTGTAATCTGCTGTCATTTAGGCATTAAATCAAAACACCAAGTGTGCCGTTGCACTGACTAGAGGTGTAACGATGCATCGTGAATTTGTTTAAAATGGATAGATGACAATCTCGACAATCCGCATCCGATTAAAATTAAAGAGTAGGCTGCGTTATCTCCGAAAGTCACTGGTCATACCATAAGACTACATACTCTAGTACAGTAGGTGGCAGTATGTACCCGAAAACATTGATTGTGACCCGTTATAAAACCAAGACCTAACCTACTAGCCTAAGTGACATTAAGGTGTTCAAACTTCTTTCAATGACACAGGCAGTGTTTTACAGAGTTTCTGTAAAGAAAGGAACTCTTTCCAGTTCATGTTTTTTATATGCTTTCTGTTGTTTAATATACTGACAGTTAGTGAGGTCAATAAGACCAGACCAGTTTGACTTTTAATAAGAGAAGATAAATGGTGATGTGTAGCGTTTCCATTTTTGTTAGGATTGGTATTTTGCATATTTTATACAAATAGGATCATTGTGTTTAGGGATGTGCGATAATATCAGCACACCTGTATCTGTAAAATATCTGTAGAAATCATTATCAGTTTTTTTAATAATGAAAACCTGACAAAGCGATGCCTGGGTTTCGCCAAATGATGTGTGCCCTAAAAATAGTTTTGGGGGATAAATGGCTGTATATTAAAATGAAAGTCTGAAAATGAAAGATGGCAGCATTGCAGCTCATTTATTTAATCTCATACTCATACAGTGATGCAGATAAAGATAAATAAATAAATATTATCAGCCCTAGATTTTCTCATTTTGATATCGAAATTGAATGTTAAGTGTTTGGACAATATCGGCATATATTGGCAAAAAGTAAATATCAAACATCCCTAATTGTATTTGGTCATATTTTTTCTTGAACTCATTTTGTTTCAAAAACATCGTAATAAAATCATGTTGTGAATCATAGGCTGGAATCAACCTGCCAGCCGCTGGGCAAATGCTAACAAAACCTGGCTAACACAACGTGTCCTGGCTAACGCCTCTAACTCTTTCAATCCATTAGCCTAGATCAGACAAACCAATGATATTTAGATATGGAACGCCAATGTATAATGTTAACAGTGGGTTTTCAACACTTCAACCTGAAGTAAAAAGCTTGACAAACAGAGCAGCAACTGATCAGTACTCGGTGTAAATATTTAACAAATAACCTTGATTTTCTGTTTGTAATGTGACACTCGTGCTCAAGCCCACAGGGCAATGTCCTGACAAATAAGCCCTCGTCGAGGGTCTGATCCGACTGCTCTCCAGTTATCATGGAGAACAACGGAAAGTCCGGTTCTTTCAGCGGGGCATTTGACAGATTGGTTTGTGAAGATGATGGCAGCGTGGATGAAGATTTTCTTTACTCAAACCAAGAGAAGCAACAAGGTATAGCGGATGGAAAATTATTATCTTTTAGATATATAGATAGAACTTCACTAATCCCTCGGAAGTTCCCTTTGGGAAATTAGAAGTCGGTTTATTATGTTTTCCTATTAGACTCAGTGTTGTTTGTTGTTTGTTTGGTGGTGATGTTTTTATGCAGTGTCCATGTCTATGGTGAAGCCTGCGTCCAGTTGCAGTCAACATTCTGTGCTGGTAGTGAGCCTGACGGTGCTCGCTGTCATTCTTCTAGCCATTGATATTGGCCTGGGAGTCTACTGTAAGTCAATCTTGTGATTATGATTTTTCTTCTTTAATTTTTTTCTTTTTATTATCAAGAAAAGCTTCGGCCTTTAACATACAAGATGGATAAAATATTGGAAAGAGCTTGGGGTGCGGGGGGTGGTGTCGGTTACTGCAGTGTTTCTCAAGTGCTGGATCGTGGCCAAAACTGGGTCACAGGGCTTGACCTGGTGAGCTAGATAGTATAATTGATACCTGCTAACCTATGTTATATTTTTTGGTACTGGGTATGTTTAGCGCATTGTTTAACACCCAAAATTATTTTATTTTACGCACTTTTACTAAGACTTGTGTTGACACCAAGCCCATAAAATGAATAGATTGTTTGTGTATTATTTAAATATATGATGGAATTAAAAATACCAAGTTAATTTATTACATGGCCTTAGACCTTCTGTAGATTAACAATTAATAAAATACACCATTTTAAAATAATATACACAGCATAATTGTATTTGTCTGAAATATGTGTGCCGTGTATTGTCGTAAAGTGAGTGAATGAGGTTGACCATCCAAAGACTTTACGTTCTGATGTACGCTTTGAGACACAGACAGAGACCTCTGGTAACAAAGTGATTCACTGTGGTACAGATAATGAACTGACGAGTGAGCAAAGGGCACTCTTGGACATCAACAGTGAACTGGCCAAACTGCAGCAGAAGTACAACACAGTGATAAAAAACAGAGACGAAATGAAGCAGCAGTTGGAGAGGGAGATAAAAGAGCAACAGCGTACTCAGTGGGAGCTGCAACATCAGAGTAGAAGAACCAACAGCTATGAACAACTGATTAGCAAGGCTCAAATGGAAATCGCTACTTTGAAATCTTACATACCAATGGTCGGTGAGTCAACATTTGTCTGTCCTGAATCATTTTAAATGTTTTAAATGTTGCTACCCGACATGCCTAAAACTCTTGTTTTTTTATTTGCAGAGGAAGGTTGTAGACGCTGCCTCCCAGGATGGAATTTCTTGGACTCCATGTGCTACTTTTTTGCTTTCTCTTTGGCACAGAGGCAATGGAACGATGCAAGAAACTTCTGCAAGAAATACGGAGGCAACTTAGCGACAGTAGACACTTATGAGAAAAATGTAAGACCTCAGACAGATTTAGGGGCAGCCAGGTCCCGATCAGTAAAATGTATAATTTTGAGTGGGAGAAAGTCAGTGGTACAGAAAATGAAAAATGTTTTTCTGCATTGGCCTCCAGGACCATCACCCATTTATTGAAAATATCCCCCTATACAATATGGTGGATATGGTGGACTAGCGTGCTAGTGACGTTGCAGTTTTTAGGGGAGATTTCAGTTTTTTCTTTTTTGGCAAATCTGACTTAAAATTCCGATTTCCTTTGTCACAAATATTAAAAGGTAGATGAGGCCGGTTTCGCATTTTAAAAACCGCTGATTCCGATCGATCGATGATTGACACATCAAAGGCACTGGATATAAGTTAAATCACATAAAGAAATTCAAAGATATCAGGAAGTTTGTAATTACTTTCCAGGAACAAACAACACCAGTGTCTTTCTTGACATGGATTTATTTGACGCTGCTTCCAAATCCCCCGTAAAAACTATGACATCCACACAATATTAGATAGCATCGGCAAAGTAAAGAAATCATAAAACACCAAAGTAAAATACAGACACAACATTAATTACTTTGACGGTTGCGTGCCTTGTAAACAAAGGAATTACTTCGTTTTCAGTTTCTTCACTTAACAATTTCCAAACACGTATATTGACTCTCAACTTCACTGTCTTAGCATAACACCTGCACGTAAACACTTCGCAACCACTATTGCACGTTAGCGTCTTGACTTTCCCCTTTCCATCTTTTCCCCTCTTGTTCTCCCGAAAAGCGTACCAGAAACAGAAATTCAAATACAAATCTGTGGTATCAAGGTAAAACAGTAGATCACTTAACAAGGGAATGGTGTGTTTGTGTGTGTGGATACTTTGGTTGTTTTAGGAGGTAATGCACAGGCTGATAAGTCATTACGCCGATCCCACAAGACACTATTTCCAAAATGCCTTCTGGATCGGCCTGACGGATATTGACAATGAAGGAGACTGGAAATGGATGAATGGACAGAGATTGATTGAGGGGTAAGAGCTATTCATGATCATACAATACAAAAGGAGCAGAAATGCTACTATTATAACTTGAACACGTTAATGTTCATGGATCAAGCGAAATAGTGGATCAAGGCAATTAACCATGTATTTTGGACATAAAATAGGAAACACATTGACCAAATTTGTTTGTTTGTTGTTGGGTTGTTTTTTTTTTCATTTTTTGTGACCTCATGAATTGAAATTTAATTTGACCCTTTTCTTTAAATTACATTTTTTTCAATAGGGGGCAAGGGCTTCAACTGAGAATTTTCTTTTAAGTTGTTGATGTATTTTGTATCCATTAAGTAACTTGTCATTTTCCACAGGTACTGGAATGACGGAGAGCCCAATAATAACAATAATGAGGACTGTGCAGGCGTGTTTCCAAAAGACCATTTACATTTTAAATCCTGGAATGATTTCCCATGCAGTACTCACCTGAGATGGATTTGTGAGATGGAACCAAGGTCTGTCACAGAGCGTTGATAATTAATAACTGTAGTTTAATTGTATGAGGTAACAGACGCTGCAGCCTCTAACACATCAGATAAATTGTTTTTTTTTTTATTTGTTCTTCCTTCCTCTCTACATCTATCCAGGGTCACCGAGGCCAGTCCCAGCTGACACTGGTCTGAACACACAACCCATTACACTAACATTAACACAGAGTCAATTTATTGAGATTTGTGACTTAGGAAATGAACTATAAAATATATTTACCGTCAATACTATTTTACAGATATGTACATCATTGTGTTACAAGATTTGAACATTTGAAACAGTGTTACATATGCAATAGAAATGCAATATATCGATACTACGATCAGAGGAAAACATAATAAACCAACTTATATTTCGGGAGTGAATGCAGAAATCAAAACAAACCAGGCTAGGCTAGCCAGAATTTTGTGCTGGGACCCCTGCATTTGTACTGTGGTACTGCGGTTGTGATTGCTTGAAAATTTTGAGGTAGACAGAAATGCATACGACCCCTGTTTACAGTTATGCCCTAATTTAACCCTTTAACCCTTGTGTGGGGTTCGGGTCTGTGGGACCCGTTTTCACTTTTTACTAAAAGAAAAATGATTTAATAATTTAATTTTCCAACCTGAGACTCACTGGCTTTGGCTCATTTTCTATGAAGAACATATATCAGAATACATATTTAATGACCACACACCATACACCCCCCCCCACACACACATTTCTAGTACATATAAGATGTCCGGGGCCACTGGACCCGGGGCTAATAGAAGTGTGGAAATTGATGTTCTGTGTTCCACACACACACGCGCACATGCACCCACGCACGCACACACTCACACATACACACTTACACACCTACACCCACACACACACACACAGCAGGCCTGGACAGGAGGAGGACAGAGTGTAGGTACACAGAACATACCTATAACATATAAATGTGACCTAACAAAAGTACAGGGCAAATATTAACCATATATATTGTTTATACTGCTTGTAATTGGGATAAGATAAGTAAGGCAGTATTTTAACATAAAAGTGTTGTAACAACAATATGAACATTACACAAGGGTTAAAGAAGAGCCGCTGTGCAGTGTGTACTCTGTTTCACTGTTCTACTGATTTCACATGAATATGAAATTGATCGAAAATATGTTGTACTTCAGGTGAAATGGATTCAGCACAAATTCAGTCAATAAATTCTGACTTATTATCATTATCGTGGACAAAATATCGTGATGGTATTGTATCACAAAGTTGTAGCGCTAGTATCAACAAACAAACCAAAAATTAAACCAGTTGCTAAATTTGATTTAATGTCGGTCTGAGTGACCTTCAAACATCCTGACGACGTTGCTAACTGTGAGTGCGGGAGCACAGCCTCTTATCTCTCACTGCAGCATCATCACATTCTCCTCTCACTCGCCTCCTCACAACTCTGCGAAATGCTGCTGAAGTTGTTTGAGAAGCTGCTGCGTGTCGACGTGCTCCGGAAAGGCATTCTCTGACTTCTGAGCTGCAGTGTAGCTGCTCTGAAGGTCTCCAATCTGATGACAGGCCAGACGGGGGGAAAAAAAAAATCAGCATACTGTAGATAACATCACCAGGTTTTCACTGTCACCTTCACTGTTAATCTGCATAGAGTTTGATGATAATTACCTTTTCAGAGAGAATAGAAAGATTGAAGTGGGGCTCGTACATGTGAGGGGCCAACGATGCAGCGGTCTGAAGAAAGGCTTTAGACTGGAGCAAAGAGAGAGAATTGTTATCTAATTAAAGTAGGGCTGAATTCTCTTTCTCAAACATATCAAAATTATTTTATTGATTAACCTTAACAGGGAGAATGTGTCTATTCAGGATATATAATAACATTAGATAAATGGTTCTCAAACTGGAGGGCGTGGAGCCTTCATGTAACGAAATGCAAATCAGAACTGGACTTTGAAAATAAATTAGAAGTAACAGTCTGACAGCTGCAGCACATACACTCGTTACCACAACACATAGATTGCTACACAAACATAGAAATATTAAATGAATATCACAGGCCACTTAAATTGAGTTGGACACACGAGGTTCAAAATAAAGCCGTAAATGTCCAAAAGTCAACTTTACGGTCCAGAAACACAACATGACTTTATATTTTACAGTTTGAACAGAGTTTTCCTTTTTAACTGCCAAACTTATATTTTATATGTAAGAAAGAAAGCTAGTGAAATCAAATAAAACAATGAAAATGAAAAGATAATTCTTTACCTGATCAATACGCCCTTTACGCAGCTCCAGCACAGCCAGGTTGTTGTAAGCCTCAGCGTGGTCATTATTAAAAGCCAAAGCCAGTTTGAAACACTGGTAAGCCATTGTCAAGTCGCCTATGCCCTGCAAACACAAAGCACTCAGTTGTTGTCAGTCTGGTACAACGTTGTGGCATCATGGGATGTTCTAATTTTTTCCAGATTTGCTCACTCACCACAGCTACGTGTCCTATGTTGTACCAAACGTCCGCCTGCTCTTCATCGTTACCGGCCAAAGCCAGAGCTCTCTCAAACGAGGACAGAGTCATGTCGTACTGCTGAGCGTAGAAGCAGCACAGGCCCAGGTTGTTGTACAGCTGGCAGTTGTACACCCCCATCTGGAGCAGCCGCCTGTCAGTGGTCAAAGCAAATCCAATCACAGGCATGGTTGTGTTCCCGTTTAACTGGCTTGTTTCTGTCAGAGGCTACAGCTGTGCCCGACATCACTCACTCACTCCCTACTCCCTCTATGGGGAATTATTTATATTGCATATATAGTCTATAGTGGAGTCTCTGGTTATGGGGGGGCGGTTTTGGACACAACCTGTGTCCATTTGTCAAACCTGTAAAACCGCAGGGCGATCTCCGGCTGATCCGTATAGAAGTGATTGCTACCGATACAGGCTATGGCCTCCACGTGTGTGTTGTCCTGCTTCAGGACGTCTTTGTAGTACTCCGTGGCTGACGAAATGTTGTTCATCTCCTGCGAGAGCACGGAGAGAATGAAACGACTGTGGTTGGAGCCTGTGAACTCTATTACGAAGACGACAGTGCCTCACTGTACCTCGTGTATCCGAGCGATTCCTGTCAGAAGTGTGACTTCACCAGGGAAGTGGTCCAGACCTTGCTTGAAAAGGTTGAGTGCTGTAACCGGTTGATCAATGCGTTGGTAAACCTAAGAGGACAGAGTCATTGTTTTGGTTTCATTTGACAGACAATTTGGAAGAAAGACACAGTGAATCAATGAGTTCACCTGCCTTTCAGCTTCAACAAAGCCCCAAAAAGAGACTAAACCAAACACACACTAATCTGTCTGTGTCAGGGGTCCCCAACCGTTGGTCCAGGAACCGGTGCCGGTCCGTAGGAAATTTGGTACCGGGACACAGTGAAAAATGTACTTCAGTTTTACTAATTGACTTCATTCCAAAACAATCCAGTCATATCCCTTTACTTTGTTCATTGAAAGATAATCTGTCAATGTTACAAAACAACAGGTCATTCACACTCTGATACTAACAGAAAAAGATATTTTGAAAATTGAACGATTCTTCAACAATGGTGTGGTTTTACTGGTCCACAGTAACGGCTGATACCAGCCGACTGGTTCTTGGTACAAAAAAAGTTGTGGGCCGTTCTACAAACTTGACAAAATGAGCACCCACTAAAGGCATTGCTTTTTTGCAAGTAAAGATCCTTTCGTTACCTTGGCCAGGTACAAGTACGTATCCACCACCTCTTGATGATTGAGAGCAGATCGAAACTGTTTTTCTGCTTCTCGGTACAAACCCAGCCTGAAAAGTATAAAAAGTTATAAGTAGATGACCAGACAATGTTAAAAATACTACTGATGGTAGTTATATTTTCTTGCCTGTAGTAACATTTCCCTAGTTGAACTTTCCACCACCAGTCTTTGAACTGAGCATGCTCAGTAGCCTGAGCAGCCAAATCTAGAGCCTGGGAAAAAAAACAAAACCAACCAAGTTAATGCTAAAAACCAATTACAGTATGCTTAGAACAGGCATGGCCAAACTAAGGCTCGAGGGCCAGGTGTGACCTGTTCAACTTTGTAATTATATATTTGGTTTGTATTGTGATTATTTTTCTGCCTTTTCCCTGTAATGCCCACATTTGCCCTACAGATAGCGTAGAGAAGGCTAAAAGCATTTTAGCATTTTAGCCCTTATGCATGACTATTACATGCCATTTATCTTAGTTCACACAAACGCTCCATCTATCTGCTCCTTGCCCGCCCCCCCACCCCCCTGTCAAATTTTAGGACCAATTGTGGCCAACAAGTCTAAAAGTTTGCCCACGTCTGGTCTGGAGTATGTCAACAAATGTACTTTAGGGCTGCATGGATTGAAAAACTCACATTTTTCACATCATTTTCATGATGAAAGATGTACTCAAACAGTGTCTGGAACAAAGGAAAACAAGAGATTTTTTTCACATTTTATATAGAAATAACAAATTCAACTACAACAGGTTGTAGGCTCCGTCTTACCCTGGACATGTTTGGTTTTTGGGAATATTTGGCAAGGTTCAGCCTTGACAAATTGATAAAAGGTCCGTCTGGATTGGTTATCATTGAAGCCTGTGGAAACACAGTGAATAAAAATTATATTATTCTGTCGAAAAAAAGGTGAAAATTCTGCCAATACTGCAGTAACTGAGAACACGGACTGAACTTAAATGATTCTCCCGTGGCCTGGACATGAACTGGAAACCACAGGAGCTGGACTGTTTTTATGGATTCCAAAACAAATCCCCTGATAACTGATGTCTTCTCTGATTTATTCATTTACCACTCAATATGCTTTATTCTAATTTAATTGTATTAATCTTTTTTTTATTACAAAGATCCCGAAAACATACTTTCACCACTGCTATTGCTTGGTATACCCTTGGTGATATAAATATATAAATATATAATGAAATATTTACTCACCGTGCCCAATCGGATGAATCTACCAGAGGCACTTGTGACAGGCCGAGCAGTGCTTGCAGTGCGGGGAGTTTTGATGGCCTGCTCCATTGTCCCCGGCCGTCCTGACTGTGTGCTAGGTCTCACAAATCCAGTGATGGGACGCCCTGACTGTGTCATTGGCCTTAAACACACATTGAACCATTTCATTTACAAAAATATTATATTTCCCTGGCTAATTCCCTAGATGTTTTAACCACTGCTTGGCAACCAGTACCTGATGGCTGGTGTGGGCCCCCCACCCTGACTTGTTCCAGGGAGTCTCAGTGATGTTCCAGGACCTTAAAAAAATGTTTTTTAACATTTGGTATTGGTGTGTTTTCCAATCTTGAAAGCACAAAAAAGGAGAGATAAGACTCACGCGCTACTTGAGCAATGGAGCTCTCATCCAGCATCATCTCAGCAATCCCTTCCTCATCCACCTCAACTTCATCTATGTACACCATCTCTGACATGGCGCGTGTTTTCAAACTCCAGGCAGCCTGTAACAGAGAAAAATGCCTCTCAGATTTTGGTGGACGTTAAATATTCCACGCCACTGTGAAAAGTTTGAATCAATTTAAACAGAGATAATCAGGAGCTACGTACCCACAGTAAAGAAGTTTTATGTTCTCGAGCAATAATATTTTCCTCTTATTTAGCTGCGTGTGTTTTGCTCACTGTGCTGCTAAAACCCTAACAACCACCACTGACACTGACTACATCAGGCTTGGGCAAACGTTTGGACTTGAGCCACATTTTTTACACCATCTATTGGGGAAACATGGGTATTGCAGGGAAAAGGCATAAGTATAGTTATAATATAAATAAATTATATAATTTGTTAAAGTTTGGTCGGATTAAAAGGCTAAACGGGCCGCATCCGGCCCCCAGGCCTTAGTTTGCCCATGCATGGACTACATATTATTTGTTAACACTTAGGGAAAATATCAGCTGTTACAATGTTTGGGGATTTAATGGTGAAAACGTAAAACCACTCGTCGTTACAACGGTGCTTATAACACGTGTGTTCAATTGCTTTTAATTGCGAGACAAAGCGAGAGCTTAACTAGAAACACCAGCTGAATTCATAATGAAGGTTTGCACAGAAGGGAACAGTCTGCAGATACAGTTACCTCTGAGACAGAAAGTGAGGAGTCCTGAGGACAGCATGCAGTGAGTAAGTGCAAAAAAGGAGAAACAAAAAAGTTTAGATGAGACAGCGAATAACAGTGAGAAAGGGCAAGCAAAAAGCGACAAATGTGAGTTGCAACACAAGAATTTCAGCAGTCACAAATATAATAATCACTAACGATGACTGTGGAAATACACCTTCACTCGATCTGTCTAATTTCCCAGCTTTCCAGACTCTAATCTCTAATCGCTAGCATGCTAGGCTAGTCAGCAGCAGCACTCTACCTGGTCGTAAGGGTTTTCCTGTAGTATTTTTGTGCATATGTCTGAGCATTGTTGAAGTTTCCGTCTCCTGAAATAGCTCCAGGCCAGAAACAGGGGGTCCATCGTCACCTCCATCGTGTCGTTAGAAGGAAAAACGAAAAGAAATGGTCTTAGTTGAGTAAAGAGACGATGATTGTGACGCTTCCTCTGTCGCTAGGCAACAGAAGAGGGGCGTGACCTTTTGCTGACGTCGTTTCCTCTAATGGATTTTCTTTAAATTGAACATTTATATAAAGATTTCTCAAATAATAAGCAACTTACATAAATCCAGACTATAGAAGTAAAAGAACATCGGCGTATAAATGTAATACAGCATTACGTAATCTCCAAAATTTGGTTCACAGGCAAGTTGTAGCTCCTGGACAGGTTTATTGAGGACCCTAACTCTCTTTTTATTTAAATATTAAAGGTCTACGAACATTTACCATCCAGACCTGTCCACAGTTAAATATGTCTAATGCATCCTGAAGATGACAAACAGCGGTAAACACGTTTTGTTGAACAGTTCAAGTACAACAGCAAAAACTATTTTACTCATATTTAACTGCTTAAACCTTTTCAAGGTCGCGGAAAAAAAAACCACTCAGCGCCACACACATACCAGCAGAACATACTTTACGTACAAAGACTGAGCTCAACCAATGAAAAAGTTTTTTGTTTTTAAGAAATATAACCATCCATTCTTCTACCCTCTGGCTTTCCACAAAAAAAGTAGTAAATATACACAGCTATTTACGTCTTCTTCTTCGATTTTATATTAAGAAATAAAGTAAAGGTTATTGTAATGTAGTTATTTTTAATTAGAAGCATCGTCAAACATCATTGAAATAAAAGATGTTGAGAGGTACATAAATAAAATTAAGTATTGGAGGTCATTTTTCCCTTTATATTTGTTTGCATGTGTTGTTCATACCTTATCTGTGTCTGTATCACGTTTTTTGTCCTGCTCGGCTCCGTCTAAGGATATGATTGGACGACGTGTTGAGTCGTCATCTGTGTGGGCGGGGCCTGGTGGTGGATAAGACAGGACAGCTCCATCTTTGCAGGATTTGACAGGAGCTTTGACCTGGAGCCGAGGAGAATCAAGAGCTCTACGCGGAGACACCGCCAGCATCTTTTCACAATGAAGTCAACATCCCGAGGACTTGCCTATTGAACAGAGACAAGCAGAGTTTGAACATTTCACAGTATTCATTTACAAAATCCAAATGCCGAATTTCGGCGTAAATCCAGCGGAAGTGATGGTTCACACTGTCTTTTAATGAGTCCTCCTCTGGTGAATGACAGCGTATCAGAGAGACTGCGTGATAAGGACAGAGAGACACACAGGGAGCCGCGGACATGGCTGACAGAACTGCTCCAAACTGCCACCTGAGACTGGAGTGGGTATACGGATACCGGGGACACCAGTGCCGCAACAACCTGTACTACACTGCCGCCAAGGAAATAGTCTACTTCGTGGCCGGTGTGGGAGTTGTGTACAACACACGCGAACACAAGCAGAAATTTTACCTGGGACACAACGATGACATAATCAGGTAGTTCACTGTAGAACCACTCACACGAACACACACACACACTTCTATTTGTAGAATAGAAACTTTCACCCTGTTTTTAACGATAGTCTGAAAAAGCTAACAGTCTATGACCTCAAATATTAAGACTATTTTTTTAAATAGTGGACTGTGCTCAAAATATCACTGCAAGTGTTACAAACATATACCGACATCTTTTGAGATGTCTCATAGAAGAGCAGTGCTAACTTAGCAACAGTAAAGTTGGGCTACAGAAAAGCATCTACAGAAATAATTCTAACTCTTCAACATTTTTAATGAAAATGTTTTCGTCTCCTTTTGTTGATGATTGATGACGTGAAAACAAATAGTGATATAGATAGATGCCTTGATATTTATTGTACCCTAACATATTTTTGTTTTGACCTGTGAGGGTAATTTAAAAAAAAATTGAACGTAGGGGAGACAGTCTCTTTAACTTGCACAGGTCTTGTAATAATATTTTGAGTATAGTAACAGGGTGTTATATGCCACTATAGCTTAGCTCTGTAACCTTGTGGTTGTGTTCAGAAACTGTGCCCCAAATACTCAGTATTTCATTGTTGTGACACCAGGTTCCACTGGTTAGAGCAGACGTGGGCAAACCTTTTGACTCGTGGGCCACACTGTGTCCTAAAATTTGACAAGGGTCCCGGGTGAGGAGCAGATAGATGGAGCGTTTGTATGAACTAAGATAAATGACATGTAAAAGTCATCCATAAAGGCAAAAATTCTAAAATGCTTTTAGTCTTCTCTACGCCATCTTTTGGTGAATAGACGGGCATTGCAGGGAAAAGGCAGAATAATATAATGATAATATCAATTAATAATATAATTTGGACAAGTTTGACGGGCCGGATTAAAAAGCCAAATGGACTGCATCTGGCCCCCGGGGCCGTAGTTTGGGTTAGGGTCAACATTTTAGTGGAAGAAGATATAATATAACTTTACCCTTAACATTTACCAGATCTTTGAAACAAGGTTCCTCATTAAGACTAGGCTTTGGTTCCCATAAGGGATCCTAATGCTGGAAAAAGGCTTTATGCTGGTAGGTCCCTTAAGGAGATATTACATACGTATGTACACACACACACACACACACACACACACAAACACACGCGCACGGAGAAAAACAGGTTCTAGCACCTAGGACAGCACCAGGCTCTCAGCAGCCACGGCATAATAACCCTGTTGTGTTGTCATTGCAGGTGCTGGTGTCACCTTGTGCAGTGTAATATGATACATACAGTGTACACAGCTCACACCCACACAGTCAAATCTTCATCATTTGTCACAGGAGACAGTGTTTTGGTTCAGGTGTTCACAAATACACACACACACACACACACAGTGTCTGGTTTTCCCCACATACTCCGTGTCTTTGTTGAGCTTCGTTCTGGTCCCTCAGAGGCCAGGTAGTGTGTTAAGGTCAAGTATAGAAAAATACAGTTTATACATATATGTGTGGCTCATAATTAAGTCCAGGTCTCATGCTTTTACTGTCATATTCCATGGAGTTAAATTAGCATCGTGCCATGTTTTACCAGGGCAGATTCGTCATGTTATGTGTATTTGAGTGACAGAAAAAAATCCTTGAAAATGTTCACTGGATCAGCCCTCTTTAATTGACTTCCATCTGACCATCATCAAGGACATTCCAGCAGAGCTCTCTCTGCTTATGACACATTGCTGAGCTGCCACACCCACACACCCTTTTCTAATCATTTCTGTTTAAGACAACGATTACGTTGCAGCAGTGTGTATATCTGTGTCCTAGTGAAAATGAAATTCTAAATTCTGAGCATTTTTATGTGGTGCATTTAAATATTTGTTGAGCGTTTATAAGGACTGAAGCTTGATATATTCGGAATAACAGTTTTAAAAAAAGAATTTCATGTGTGATTTACATATTGTTTTGTTTTTGCCGAGCTACAGCAACAGCGTTCTGCACAGTGTGTTTTTACAATGTGAGCAGCACTTGATGAGTGTCCTTGAAATAATCCTATGATAGTAGCTCATCCCTGCACGACAAGACAAACTCTGGTCTGGGATAAAATACTAAAGGAAAAAATATATATCATTACAACCTTCCGCAACACATGTAATAAAGCTGTTTGCCAGGCTGTCCAACAGTTGTGACCAGAGTCCAACGCTCCAGCGCTTGTGTTGACAAGTCATGTGTAGGTTGGCCTGGAGATAGCAACCATTATATTCTGTGTCGGTAGTCAGCTGGGCTCCTGCTCCATTATTAATCAGACAATAGCGACACTCACCCTCCGCTGCCCTCTGGCTAGATTGTCCCGATGTTGCGCAGAGAGAACTCCTGTTTCGTTTAGTGAAAGAAAAATGTTATTAACATACATTAGTTTACATGGTCACTGTGCACAAATGAGTGATAATAATCACAGGTAAATACATGCAGGTGCTCAGTGCAATTGGTATATTTACTATTTTTGGCTCAATTGTTGACTCCTTTTCACCAGGGGTGGGGGCTGCGGGGATGGGAAGGGGGTGTCACTGGAAGACAGATGTCACTACTCCATAACATATTCATAAATGTTTCTGCAATTCAATATTATTTATGCACGTTAAAAATATTGTACATTGCTCTGTGTACTAATAAAGTTCAACTCACCCGCATGAACTTTATTACAAGGTGATGAAACACTTTTTAAGGTCCTGCTGGCCACAAAAAATGACTAAGTGGGCTTTTGGCCCGCAGGCCTTAAGTTTGACACATGTCCCATAATAGCTGCCACAATCATTTTAAGATAAATTAGTAACTTAATAATATAATTTTTATGAACAAAGTTAATTTAAAAACTGGTTGATTTTTTTTTTCTTACAACAGTAACTTTGAATTTTGTGTAGCGGCACAGGTTTAGTTTAGTTTTTATATCCTATAAAACGGAAGCTAATCTTTTACTGTCACATAAAATATATGTGGAATTTAAAACCCCCCCCCTTTTTTTTCCATCGTGTGCAGTCAGATTGAGATGACTTAGTTCAGGCATGGCCAACCTGTGGCTCGGGAGCCACATGCGGCTCTTTGCCCGGTTTCTTACGCTACATGTCTAATTTTATGTTTGTGTTTTTTTACGCTATGTGAATCTCACGATGATGGGCGTTGACGCAAATTACTTAGGGAAAATCCAGATGCACATATAAAAAGATGTACGCAGGAAGTTTTAAAAGAGTGGGAGAGTTTGTTTTTTTATGTTTTTTAAAAGAATGGGGCAGTTCATGTGTGCCCCTGTATATCATGTGGCTCTTTGCAGTAATACGGTTAAAATTGTGGCTCTTAGTCTCTTGACTGGTTGGCCACCCCTGACTGTTCAACGTTTGGGTTTACACAGAGGCTCGCGCAAAAGTATTTTCCAGTCTGATGTCGTTACATGAATAAATGGCCAGTTGGTACATGACAGGGCAGAATACAAGATGGAGAAGCTTTTCTCATTTCTCACACAGCATGTGGGATTTAGCAATAACAAAATGTTGCTTTGGCATGCTGGTAGACCATAGAAATGTTGTAAAAGAAATGGTTTTATTTTCTTAGTCTATCTATAATAGATCCAAGAGCTGCAGCTGACGCTCTGTGGAATTACTTTAAAAAACCCTCCTTGTCTCCTTCTTCTCAGTGCTGCTGACACAGAACACACAGAAGCTGAGAAGCTCAGGTGTTTATTCAGCAGTCACATCTTGGCAGGTTTGTTCTTTTTTTTTTTTGTTTTTTTCTTCCTTTGTGGTAATAAGACATGACAGTGAAAGTAATTGAGTCTGTCGTTTGCGACCACAGCTTTTAATAAGACAATGAGATAACATGTTAAACTAATTAGCTTATTGCGGGTTCAGACATCTGGATGGAAGTGTGACGACGTCAGTCTGTCAGTTAATGACACGAGGCCTCGCTCTCGCAGCTTGTATGAAATGGAACGTTATATTTAAAATATTTAAAATGACACGTTTTGGATGGATCAGATTAAATGATGTCATTTTTCCTCTATTAAATGTTTAAAGATAGATCTGTTAAGTTTCTGTTGTTACTGTGAACTGAACACATTAGGTGAGATGTATGAGAGAACGTTCTGAACTCACTCTTGTAGAATATTGATGTGCAGGCTTAAGTCGAAAGAACAGAACTGGCAGCCGTGTCTGCTTCAGCTAAAACCTTCTCAAGGCGACGGGCTTCTCAGTGTTCTCTCCTTTTATTAGTGTCTGTAAAAGCTAAGGAGCAGATTTGTGGGCAGTTGGTGGAAGGGTGAGATGGAGTCTGATAAGAATTGTTTTATTGTTTTGATCCAGTAGAAGAGCTCACAGATTTTTCATTCAGGATCTGGTAAAAAAAAAGACCAAATGTTCTGCAGGTAGAAAACGCATCACGTCACTCACCTTCATGGTTTGCGACGGCTGGGCCTCCTTCATTTGATGTCTTACCTCTTGTCATATTTCCAGGTGCTTTTTGCAGAGTTTCAGTGTGATGCCCACGTAGGTCTTAGGTCTCTATCACAGGCCTGTCTATAAAAGGCAGCCGGGTCCCCAAAGAGCAGAACTGTCTTCCCTGATTAGGATCATCCAAAGTTCAGCTGCAGTTACTGTGTGCAGTGGCATGATTAAGCAGAGTCGTCAATCAGAATTTAACAGTAAACCCACACATTTTTATTAGCATGACAATGGAAAAAAAGGAAAACTAACGTTGTTTTTATTCCATACATCAGGGATCATCACAAGTCAACACAGTGATTATGCTGGATGTCTTTTCTGAAGAAATCCTTTATCACCCAGTTGTCACCATCCAACAGAAGCATGTTTATACTGTATATGTATAAGTATATATATATAGTTGAATAGAAATGGAAATCTTTTTAAGGTTGGCTAGAGCCTTTTTAAAGCCTCCTTTTGAAAACCTGGTGTTAAGTCTGTGCTATAAAGTTATACACTTACTAGATACTCACATGATAATTCTACAAAATGTTAGTTCAATTCTGATTCAACAATATTACCGGGAGTGTTTTTTTTTTTTTTGTACTGTATTGTGCTGTAAAGTTGATTGAATTCCAATCAAAACCACTTTATTCAATTAAATCAGCTCACGACACAATGTACAGCCCCCCCCCCACCGACATGAGTCAGCAAAATTTTGGCCTTAACCACTTAAGTGATTATTAGCTTGATTAGCAGTCAAGCGTTGGAATCAATAAACACTTTCCGCTCGTCAATCCTGTGCTCAGTATGCACCGTAAAAACACGTTCTCCATGAGTCACACACCAGCCCACCTTACGGTTCTGTCATCAAGTGAAACCTCACCAAGCTGATGTTTTCTTAGTTTTAAATGGCTTTGACTGAGCTGGAGTAAAACCACCGTCTGTGCCATATATAATGTAAGAAATGGACAGACACATTCAATCTTGGTTCTATTAACTCAATGTGATCATGTGACATTGAGTTTGGTGATGTAGCTGTTATATACTGTGAGGTTTTCATTGATTTTCATTTATTTCCATTGATTTTCATTGATTTTTTATTGATTTTCCTCTAAACAGGATCACAAATTGAATTGAATAAAATTGAACCATAAACAATCAGGAAGATGTTAAATGCGATATTAAGAATTTTTTCCCCATCAAAATCATCTAGGCAAATTAAATGACATTTATAAAATGACTTTATTCACCCCCGTTCTCTTATTCTACCCCCTTCTCTGGTCCACTTAAGATACATTAGCCATAGCATGTCATTTTTTTGGGTCTATTTTTCTTGTGAAAGCATTTCTTTTAATGAGACATGGATTGATCGGCAGCTGCAAACCTCAGGAGAGCAGTTAAATCTGGGACAGTTTTTTGTGCCCAATTGTCCTGACAGTCCATAAATAATACACTTATAAAAAAAACTGTGCAGACCATGATCGACACTCTGCACCAACTCGCAATTAAAATTGAAATAGTCTTATCCCGTGCTTCTTCCCAGTCCGTCAAAATCCACACAATTCCCTCAATGCAATTAAAATTGAAATAGTCTTATCCCGCGCTTCTTCCCAGTCCGTCAAAATCCACTCTGAAAAGCACATTCATTGAGGGAATTGTCATCACACGTACTCATAGGTAATGGGTTTTCCTGAGGCGTTAAAATCGGGATGAAGAAGTAAAAGCTTTTATGCATCTGCGTGTAAAGGCAAATTTCCCCGTTTGCTGAAAAATAGGCAAATTTCTCTGTGGAAACTCAGCTCTCTGGGCTGTTTAGTTCAGTTGCTTCATATCTACAAGACGACAGACATTTTAATTGCTGCTAGTTTTGTTCAGCAGCACTTGGCAGATGGGAAAGA